TGGCATCAAGGAATCTCTCCTGAGCTAACTTGCCTCACTCTGCACTGAATCCAGGTCCTTTGGTTCAGACAAATATGCTACCATTCTTATCTCAATGGGTATTGTTAAGATGTCTGCCCATCTTGCTATGTCAGATGTTTATATAGAAGGTATTATATATTTTTGTCATACAGATAGTCTCACCTTATCAGGACTTGTGTGATCTATAGATCAAGTGATGCACTACCACTCTTATCTAAGTGGGGGAAGGTATCTGCCCATCTTGCTGTGTCAGATGTTTATATGGCAAATTCTATATATGTTTGTCTTCCAGACAGTCTCACCTTATCACCACTTAGGTGATCTATAGATCAAGCAGTGTACTCATTTTTTGTTCACTCAAAAATATTGCCACAATTCAGTGGATGGAACAATTCACAAGTAATTCAATTTACTATCCTAGGGCTGAAGGTGGTGCTGCTTGTCTCATTACACCTGCTGCCCCTGTTCACGTAGTGCTGAAATAGGTACCTGGGTGCTAGTCAACTGCTGTGGGTGGCTTCCTGGGAATGGGGTGGAAATATGCATAAGAGGGACCTAAGGGTTAAAATAAACTGTTGTAAGATTACAGCTTTTCGTGTGCTAATGAAGTGAAGTTGTATAATACATGTAGCTCATAGCCTGTAAATTTACTGATGTAGGTTAACACTTCTGAGCCTGTAAATGAATTAACTTAGAATAACTGGGCATGTATTACTCAGGGAATGTCATTGTATCATGTTTGAATCAAGATGAAGATTATTATATTAAAATCAGTATAAGTGGTAAACTCTAAGGGTCATACAGCTAAGGGGATGGGGAAGCACCACTTAAGAGTCAGCAAGGAGTGATTTCTTTCCCAGATAAGTTTTAACATAAAGTTTATATAAATTAGTGGTTATCTACACTTCTGAATTTAGTTTCTGCAGTTATGTACTCCCTGTAAGTTATTTCTCATTGTCTTACCTCATTATTACTTTTTTTACATGACAGCCACCATCCACTAAGAAAGGGTGACCCAAAGAAGAAAACTTATTCACCATCATTCACTCAATCACTGTCTTTCCAGAAATGTGCTTACATCACAATCAATTTTTTTTCTTTTTAACACACAAGCTGTCTCCTACTGAGGTAGGGTGAACAAAAACAGAAGAAACACTTTTACCATCCCTCACTCCATTATTACACTGATAGGGAAGCACTAAAAACACAGAGGTCGTACAGCTCCTGGGAAATACGGAATGGGAGACAGTCACATTTGACCCAATGTAGTGGAATGTATCTTTCCACACACTGCCCATACATACAACAGGGCTATCTAAACCAAGTACCTGTTTAGGACCTTCCACACAGCTATCCATCTTATCAGTTACTCTTCTGCACAAGTCTGGGTAGAAGTATGATTTTTAGTTAACATTTCAATTTAATAAGCTAGAATGCTGTATAAAAATTAAAAATATACTTGAAGATCTATATGTTCATCCTCTTGATGCTTGTATGCAACCATAGTTAAGAATAAGCTGACTTGCAAGTCATGGTATCCTACTAGCTATGTTACTATTATTAACCTTTGTGGAGGAAGCACTAAACTAGCAAGGGCCGTACAGCAAGGGAAAATGGCAGGCAATCAGAGTTAATCAGAGGAAGGGTAGGTTGCTTTAAATTCCTTGAACCAAGAGCCCTTTATCAACATCAATAGGTCCAAAATAATGGAATCTGCAAATACATTATACTAATGTACTAATTCAGGAAAAGACAGTTAGCCAGTTTCTGGAGAGAGGTAAAACACCTTCACCTTCCAGGTAGGTGGGACAATTCAATCTCTATGTCTGCACTCTTCAGGGTTATATTAAAAACAAGAGCTAAACCCATGCAGGTCGTACAGTTCTGCAGTGAGTGTGTGTGTGTGTGTGTGTGTGTGTGTGTGTGTGTGTGTGTGTGTGTACTCACCTATTTGTACTCACCTATTTGTGGTTGCAGGGGTCGAGTCCTAGCTCCTGGCCCCGCCTCTTCACCGGTTGCTACTAGGCCCTCTCTCTCCCCGCTCCATGAGCTTTATCAAACCTCGTCTTAAAACTGTGTATGGTTCCTGCCTCCACTACGTCATTTTCTAGGCTATTCCACTGCCTTACAACTCTATGACTGAAGAAATACTTCCTACTATCTCTCTGACTCATTTGTGTCTTCAACTTCCAATTGTGGCCTCTTGTTTCTGTGTTCCCTCCCTGGAACATCCTGTCTTTGTCCACCTTGTCTATTCCACGCAGTATTTTATATGTCGTTATCATGTCTCCCCTGACCCTCCTGTCCTCCAGTGTCGTCAGGCCGATGTGTGTGTGTTATGTGTGTGTGTGTGTGTGTGTGTGTGTGTGTGTGTGTGTGTGTGTGTGTGTGTGTGTGTGTGTGTGTGTGTGTGTGTTGTGTGTGTGTGTGTGTGTGTGTGTGTGTGCATGTTTTTTGTTTGTTTGTTGTTTGTTTGTTTGTGTGTTTTTACTGTAACCTTCTAGGAAGACAATTAGGGTGAGTAATGGCAGGGGAGAGATGATAGATGTTTTAAAAAAATTAGCATTTAACCCGTAAACGGTCCAAACGTATATATACGTTTTTTCAACTTTTGAAAGTATGTAAAAAAAGTAGATCTTCTTTTTGTTTTTTTACATTTGAAAATGTGTAAAAAAACATAGATCTACTTTTGTAGCACTACACATGTGAACGTAGATCTACTTGGACCGTTTACGGGTTAAGCAATTTATATTTGTTAATATTTTCCAAAATACATGTGGTTTCCCTATTACTTAAGGAATACTCAAATGCTTTCACCAAGATTTTTTATTTATTTCACTTAAGTGTTTAGCATTAACCCTTTGACTGTCGCAACCCCCAATCCTGAGGTGTCTCCTGGTGTCGCAAAATTTAAAAAAAAAAAAAATTATTTTTTCTTATGAAATGATAGAGAATATTTTCCCGATTGTAATGACACCAAAAAAACTAAATTTGATGGAAAACTGACGGAATTATGCTCTCGCGAAGTTAGCGACCTCAGCGCTGTTTACAAATCGGCGATTTCGCCCACTTTGAGCCCTATTTTCGGGTAATTCCGTTGTTCCAGTCACCCAAACTCATAGCTATTTCTTTAGAACTCCATTTTCTCTATCGATTGAGTACAAGAAACTGCCCATTTACCGATTTCAACTACCTAATAATGTGGTCAGAAATTTGCAATTTGGCCAATTTCACGAAAACTAAAAAATATGGCAATTTCAAAATAAGGTCCAGAATGAACAATGCAGACATTCCTGGCTCTAAAATAACATTTTCTTTGCTCATCAGTCATGTCTCCAGGCCCCTCTGATATTACTCTTGCTTTCTATTTTGAATTTTTATTCAAACAAAAAATAGAAGACTTACTATTATGCAGACTACTGCAATACTATAATAATTGTATAAATAACATCAACTCATTCATGACTGCATATTAGAATGGCTAGTTGGACATTTATTGGACAATGGCATCATTTGTTTATTTTTGAACATCGGCAAAAATCAAACATTTCCCCTACTTTGAGCTCCATTTCTAGGTTCTTTTTATAGTAAAATCAATCAAAATCACCTCTATTTCTATAATATGTTTTCCATTCTATCAAATGAGACCAAGAAAACGAGAATACAACCATAAATACTATACGAAAATAGACCACAAAGTCGGCATTTTAATTAAAAAATGGTCGGAGTTTTTTTTTTTTTCATTATGCACTGCGTGCTCCAGGATTTTTTCTATATGGTGCACACTGACCTCACAGACCCACTCTCTCACATGTGGGCCTACCAGCTTTCTCCTGCTTGATTTGAAGCCGCTAGAATTTATGAGTATATATACGTCAAACACTGTACCTCGTAAGACGTATATATACGGCCGCGACAGTCAAAGGGTTAAAGTATGAGACATTTCAAGGATACAATATAAATATATGAATAACAGAACAAAAAAATGTAAAGTAGAAAGAAAGATATATATATATATATATATATATACAGCTCATCCCTAGGAGAGCATTAATGTTGGGTTTGTGTCAACCATTTGATACTGTTTAAATATCACCTTGCATGTTAAAATTCTTGTAACATGTTTTTAAATGTTTATACAGAAGGTACTGTGATTGTAATAAACGAATAGGAAATCAGTCTAATATAATTATTAGGTATGCTACTGGCAAGAGCCGTTAGTCTGAGTCGTCGGTAATGAGTCATGTCGCTAATGAGAGAGGCTGATTATATGTATGATATTTGACATGGACAAATAAATACTATACGTAATACAGCTGCTGAACTGGATGTCTGCTGACCTCTGCAAGGATGTAGAAAACAGTGAGCAAATGGCAAAGTGTGTTAAAAAAGGATACATTTTGTACAACATTCAGCTCTATGCATAAATTGCCAATTTAAAAGATTATAGAAACCAAAATTTGTACTTTCTACCTTATCAGTATTGTTGCAAATATACTAAAAGTGAGCATGTTCAAATCCATCATTCATTGTTTTGATTATTTGTTTCTGGAACAACCGTTAATATTTCTATAGGAGCCTGCTTGAGACTTGTATGACGTTCCTGAGTGCTTGAAATTTGTCGCTTTGATGTCTCATTTTTTCAATGCTGCATACTTCACTACTGGTCAGATTATGATTTCCTAGGCTGTTCATTGACTGTGTATTTTCCATATATTGAGCAACACTGTCTTTAACCTATTTTTACGATGCACTTGACTTGAGAGAATTGTATATTGCCTGTAGTGTTGGTGTAGGCAATCCAAGTGGTTGCACTGTACGATGACGAGGGGTTTTGTCTTATTGGAGGCCATTCCACATTTATCCACTGGGCACTTGTTAGCCTGAGGAGAACTGGTGCCAATAAGCAAATGTTAAAAAAAAAAAAAAAAAAAAAAAAAAAAAATATAATACAAAATCCAGGAAGAGCATATTACTATAATGGTAGTGGGTTTGTGTCAACCATCTTTGATACTGTTTTAATATCACCTTGCACTTGTTATAACATTTCTTGTATACATGTATTTTTAAATGTTTATACAGTAGTGTACTGTATATTGTAATAAACAGAATAGAGGAAATCAGCTCTAATATACATTATTTAGGTATGCATACTGGTCAGAGCCCGTCATAGGTCTGAGTCGTCGGTAAATGAGTATGTCGCTAAGTGAGAAGAGGCTGTATATATATGTATGATATTTGTACATGGGACAAATAAATACATATACAGTACATACAGCTAGCTTGAACTGTGATGTCTGCTGACCTCTGGCAAGACTGCTAGAAAACAAGTGATGCAAAATGGCAAATGTGTTAAAAACCGAGATCACATATAATTTTTACAACATTCAGCTCTATAATAAATTTGCCAATTTAGAAAATTATACAAACCAAAATTTTACTTTCTACTTATCAGTATTGTCAAATATATCTAAAAGTGAGCATGTCTTCAAATCCATCATTTCATTTTTTCTATTATTTTTTCTTGACACAGACCCATTAATATTTCTTAGGAGCCTCTGCTTGAGATCCTTTGATATTGACGTTCCTGAGTGCTTGAAATTTGTCGCTCTTGATGTTCTCATTTTTTCTTGCTGCATACTATCACTCTGGTCAAAATTATATTTCCTAGGCTGTCTCCTTGACTGTGTATTTTCCATATATTGAGCAACACTGTCTTTAACCTCATTTTTACGTGCATTTTTGACTTGAGAGAATTGTATATTCTGCCTTGTAGGTGTTGGTTGTAGGCAAATCCAAGTGGTAGGCAGCTGGTACGAGTGACGAGGGGTTTTGTCATCATATGGGATGTGCCAGCCACCATTTACTCCACACTGGGCACTGGTGTTAAAGACTGCAGGAAACTGAGTGCAATAAGCAAATGTTAATAAACTGCAAAGAAAAATCTGTCATCCTACAGTCAAAAAAAAAAAATCATTAATACAAAAAATTCAGGAAAGAGCAGAAGTAATGTAGAATATTTTTGGTAAATGCAGGTGTGGAGTTTGGAATCACAAGTAAGATACTAGGTAAGGTATCATGATGAGGAAGGTGATAAAACAGAATTGAGGTGTTGAAAGTTCTGTGAGATGCTGCTAATAATAAACCTTTTCTTCAAGGTGTGTGTTAGTACATCACAGGGAACTAGAGGATATTTTTTGACATTTGTATCACTACAAAGTTTGCTGCATGAAATGGCATTCTGCAGAAGAAGATTTAATTAAAATAGTATCTTGTTTGAAGAGCTGTATTAAGCTGTACACAGCAAAATGTTGTCCCAAGAAAAGTTTCTTCTGAAACTTGTCCTTGTCTTCACACAAATTTTACTGACTTGGCTCATGCTCAGAGTGAGAGGACTGCCAGTGCTGTTGAGAAATGTTTGATGTTTAAAAGTGTATCTAATATGAAATAAAGTTGTATCCTCTCTCTCCAACATATTTCAGCACTTGTATGAGTAAGTACAGTGGAACTCCGGTTTTCGTACTTAATCCGTTCCAGAAAGTCGTTCTATATTTGAAACGTACGAAAATCAAATAAATATTTCCCATAAGAAATAATGTAAATACAATTAATCCGTTCCAGACACACAAAAATATTAACAAAAAATAAATTAAGTTAGTAATAGAACTAGGCATTAAGAAACACAATAAAAAGTAAAATACATACACAGTACATTCATTACTTACCTTAAAATATTTGTAGTTTTAATGCAGGGTGAGAGGTGAGTAGTATTTATTTGTAGGAAGTCAGTGTACGTAGCTGTTAGGTGTAGCCTGGGCTACACCTGCCAAATACCTACACTAAGGCCCAGAGCTACATTATTACCATCGACATACCATGCTCACTAAGTTTAATAATTTCTAACAACTACCTTTATGCCATCATAAACAAAGGGAGAAGTAATGAATAATGCATGCCAAGAACTGTAAACAAAAGCCTTATGTATTAAGAGTGGTTACTGGGCCAACGCAGATTCATACACATTTTCTCTGAAGCTGGACAGGAGAAAACGTAATGTTTTTCTTCCACTGACTACCACCCCTCCATAGCATATAAACATTGCATGTTTATATGCTATGTAACATGTTTCTTACATAATTTTGATGTGCCCAAAAGTGATTATTATTACATATTAGCATGATTACTATAGCGTTAAGACTAGAGGGGCACTCTTAGTGAACGAGTAACAAAAGCATGTTTATATGCTATGTAATGTGTCTCTTATATAATTTTCAAGACAATATCATAGATGTATTAATGAAAATGTCTATATTAATGTAAAATAAGACATTTAATGTGCCCAAGAGTGAGTCATGAATGTATGAGTGGCCCAGGCAGATGTGTCTGATACATATGATTTCCAGATGGAGGTACAAAATCCGGACCAAAATTTCGCCCAAAAAAGTGTTCTAAATCCGAATTGTACGATATGCGGACCGTACGAAAACCGGAGTTCCACTGTAACTTTATTTAGGTACAGGTACACATAAGTACAATTATCATATATGTGTAAATTATTTAGGATAACACAAAAAAGTGAGACAAAGTGACTTATTTCCACTGGGGTCCTTGAGAACCCTAATGGAAGGCACACTGGATTTGCTCATAATGATACTATTTCAATGAACTTTGTAAACACACCCTTCAGAAAGGGTGCCTTCATGTTGGTGAAGGGCTCTTTATCAATGGAATTGGAGCTACCGTACCTTTCCCTAAATCAAACCTTACTACCTCCCATTGTATCACCTCTACAAGTTTAGCACTTCCCATTAACAATAAAAAATACTAAACAATTTATTCACAGCTTTTAAAATGTAACAGTTCATTCCCATCCCCAATGTTATTTACAAACAGCAGTGAGTATATGAATTTTTTTAATAAAAAGAAGACTGTTGTACAGTGGCTGCCATCATTCTTTTGTCTGAAGTGAATAAATTAGCAGTTCATTGTTTCATTATCGGTACGTATATTTTATATCATTTATCCACATGTTACAGTATGTATATTTAATGTTATTTATAGCATAGGCCACAATTTTTTTTTAAACATACTGGCTGTCTCCCACCAAGGCAGGGTGACCCAAAAAAAGAAACGCTTTCACTATCATTCACACTATCACTGTCTTTGTAGAGGTGTGCAGATACGACAGCTGAGATGGTTTTGAAGTTACAAATGGAGCTTGGTATTTCTTCCCTCTAAAGAGCATAAGCAAAAACTTAGCAACACTAAAGTCAAGCCCTGGTGGACAGTGAGAGTGAGGAAGTTGAAGCATGTGAGGCAAAAGTGATGAAGTTGAAATGTGAGAGGTCAAAGAGAAAATTTAAGTGAGAGAGGTGAAAGTGTGGGAGTGTACAGGAGGAGAGGGTGGAGGGTGAGGACTGAGAGTGCAGGACAGTTGCAGTTGATGTTCCTAACTCTGAGGGACCAAGTGCTGCTACTGTAGCTCCACAGCCTCCATCCAAGGACAAAAATGATCTTGAAAATTTAGATATCAGTTATAATTTATCCTATATTTCTGAATCCTATTTTTAAGATTATAAGTGCATCTAGGAGCAAAACTAAGAAGTGTTTGTCCATGGCCAACATAGTCCCATTTTACCCACACCAACATGTTTGACTATTGCAAATTAATGTTATGAACAGAGTTATGATGAACCTTGCAATATACTCAGGGGATAAGAGTGCATTATGCTTAAATTACTATTGAAAACCTAACTGATTTACCAAACAATTTAAGTATTGGTGAAAGTGGTATGGCATTACCAACAAGTTGTAGGCAAAAGACATGTATGCACTGATAAAGACATTTTTTAAATGCTTCACTACAAGTGGAGTGAAGAAGCCACTTGTGGCGAAACATTTCCTTAATATCTTGACAACTGCATGTGTGTCTTTTACCTACAATCCAGGTACTGCACTATACCACAGTTGTATAATATTCCCCATTAACCAAGCTAGACTTTTCTCTATATATGATGAAAAGAAGAAAGTGCAATACTGCACAGTGCATACCAATACATGGGCACCAGAAAGTGATGGAATGATCATTATCTGGTGAATTCTCTGCCAACGTCGGAAAGTCTCTCTCAGTGTTGTCTGTCCCAGACGAAACAGATGGTCTCGTAGCAAGTCACTGAATAAATGATTTAATAAGTAGTCTTCATGGAAATATCTTATATTTTCTTCAGGAATAAATATTATTTTAACTTCTGATATTGCTTAAGTACTATTTGTATCTCAATATGTACAGTAATGTGTTTACATGAAATGAACATCAAGAAAATATTAATTTGATTGACTGAGAATGGTAATACAGTGTTACAGTCCTGGAATTATAGTTTACTTCTCAAGACTACATATCATACATACTTAGTTACAACTTTAGTTCCATATCCAGATTGGAGGGCAGCATATATGAAGAATCCGTCATCTTTGGTCCTAGTAACAAATATGGAATAACATTTAGTAAATCAAATGTCTACTGAAGCAAAATAAAAAAAAAGAATACAAATGAAGATTATTATTGTACTCATGGAAGGCATTAAACCCATAAAGGTCACACAGTTACAGATGAAGAATTAATACACTATACTTTAAATTATGTGATGTACATACATGGTATTACCTAATACTTACTCATTTTGAAGAGCTGCAACAGACTGCATATTATATTATTATAGCTAATAAGGGTTATACAGTGACTAGGTGAATGGGAGGCATTCATATTTGATCCAAGAACCCCTCATGACTTAACCTGAGTAGAAAATAAATGCAAATAACAGGCCCAAAAATATGGAACCATCTATCAAAAGATTCTAAAACTTGCCTCTCTACCACCACATCAAAAATGTTAAAAAAATCTGAACTTAATGTAAATTTATGTACACAGATTGAATATAAATATCAAATATACAGTAATTATTTAATTCATGGGGGTGCTAAACCCTTAGGGGTCATATAGAGCCTGGGAAAATGGGAGGTACTCACATTCAATTCTTGACTATAATTATTTTTTTTATTAACACATTGGCTGTTTCCCACCGAGGCAGGGCGACCCAAAAAAGAAGAAACACTTTCATCATCACTCATTCCATCACTATCTTGCTATATACATATAACAAAAATATGCCATCTAAGAAAGTGTGCAAGTTTAAAAGCAATCATAACATACAGGTAGCAATGTTAGTAAAAAGAATACACCTATGGTTTTCTGAAACTCTGGCCTCTCAGTGACTTCTCAATGTTTACTCAGTCAATGATACGAAGAACTGACATATTTGCTGGTCAGGTTTTTTTTTTTAATTTGAACAGATCAGGATAATTCTGGTTAATTTATGTTAACCTAATTTAACCTAAGCAGGAAGTGTTATCTATATATAACAATAGCCTGGCAAATACAGAAAACCAATGAAAGGTCGCAACATTCACCAAGTTGCCTTGAATGTCTCCAAAGTACTTGTACAAGTAACATTCAAGTTGCCATCGCAACCAGTACATCCATCAAAGACCTGGCCCGGACCAGAGTGAAGAACCTCGAACCAGTCAGTGCAGGTGTTTACACAGTCTCTTGTGGAGGCTGTGACAAGGTGTACGTCAGTGAAACAGCACCTACCCTTCAAACATGTCTCAATGAATAACTTGAACAATGCATGTGTGCAGCACAGAAACTCCTCCAACCATCTTGAGATACAGTGATGACTGCCTAGTGATCAAATAAGCAAACTCCTCCAGGCATAAGTGCCTGGAGTCATTTTTAATCACCATCTCTTACACCATTAAACAAAATAAAAGTAGCTTTGTCATTTTGAAGGTCTTAGCCAGAATTCTACTCAAAACAATAAGCCCTGCCATCATACAGCAAACTAGAGTTACCTCCACTTGTGTTACTACTACAACTGTAACTACTACTACTACCACTACTACAATGACTACTACTAAAACCACCCCCTATCTTTCACCTCATGTGGTACCTATATATATATATATCTTTCTTTCTTTCAACACACCAGCCGTATCCCACCAAGGCGAGGTGGCCCAAAAGGAAAAACGAAAGTTTCTCCTTTTACATTTAGTAATATATACAGGAGAAGAGGTTACTAATCCCTTGCTCCCGGCATTTTAGTCGCTTCTTACAATACGCATGGATTATGGAGGAAGAATTCTGTTCCATTTCCCCATGGAGATAAGAGGAAATAAACAAGAACAAGAACTAGAAAGAAAAGAGCAGAAAACACAGAGGGGTGTGTATATATATGCTTGTACATGTATGTGTAGTGTGACCTAAATGTAAGTAGAAGTAGCAAGACGTACCTGAAATCTTGCATGTTCCCGAGACAGAAAAAAAGACACCAGCAATCCTACCATCATGTAAAACAATTACAGGATTTCGTTTTACACTCATTTGGCAGGACGGTAGTACCTCCCTGGGCGGTTGCTGTCTACCAACCTACTACCTAGAATAAATATATAATACTTGACGTGCTGTTGGAGTGTGAGCAAAGTAACATTTATGAAGGGGTTCAGGGAAACCGGCAGGCCGGACTTGAGTCCTGGAGATGGGAAGTACAGTGCCTGCACTCTGAAGGAGGGGTGTTAATGTTGCAGTTTAAAAACTGTAGTGTAAAGCACCCTTCTGGCAAGACAATGATGGAGTGAATGATGGTGAAAGTTTTTCTTTTTCGGGCCACCCTGCCTTGGTGGGAATCGGCCAGTGTGATAATAAAATAAAAATAAAATATATATATATATATATATATATATATATATATATATATATATATATATATATATATATATATATATATATATAATATATATACACAGTTGGACCCCCGGTTAACGATATTTTTTCACTCCAGAAGTATGTTCAGGTGCCAGTACTGACCGAATTTATTCCCATAAGGAATATTGTGAAGTAGATTAGTCCATTTCAGACCCCCAAACATACACGTACAAACGCACTTACATAAATACACTAACATAATTGGTCACATTCGGAGGTAATCGTTAACCGGGGGTCCACTGTATATATATATATATATATAATATATATATAACCTGGAGTTTACCTGGAGAGAGTTTCGGGGGTCAACGCCCCCGCGGCCCGGTCTGTGTCCAGGCCTCCTGGTGGATCAGCGCCTGATCAACCAGGCTGTTGCTGCTGGCTGCACGCAAACCAACGTACGAGCCACAGCCCGGCTGATCAGGAACTGACTTTAGGTGCTTGTCCAGTGCCAGCTTGAAGACTGCCAGGGGTCTGTTGGTAATCCCCCTTATGTGTGCTGGGAGGCAGTTGAACAGTCTCGGGCCCCTGACACTTATTGTATGGTCTCTTAACGTGCTAGTGACACCCCTGCTTTTCATTGGGGGGATGGTGCATCGTCTGCCAAGTCTTTTGCTTTCGTAGTGAGTGATTTTCGTGTGCAAGTTCGGTACATCCCCTGGGTTTTTCCGGGTGTATAAATAATATATATAATATAAAATATATATTTTTAAAATAAATATTAATAAAATATATATATATTATAAATAAAATTATAAAATATATATATAAAAATTAAAAAAATATTATAAATATTATAAAATTTTAAATAATAATATATACCATGTTGGAATACGGGAAAAGAGTAAGGTTTGAGGATAACAAAAAAGATTAGGGATGAAAGATTGAATATCAAGGGAGGGAAGAGTATGGGAAGGTGAACTATTCAGATATTTGGGATGGACGTGTCAGCGAGGGGCCCAATAAAGATGAGTGTCATAAAATTGAGAGGGAAAAAGAGTGAGTGGTGCACTTAGGATCTGGGGAACAAAGAACTTTTGTCCTTGGGGGAAAAAGGGGGAATGTATGAGATATAGTTTTACCACCTCTTTTTTGGGGGTTGAAGCGTGGGTGATGAATGTTGTAGCGAGGAAAGGCTGGAGGCAGTGGAGATGCATGCCCCAGGCAATGGTTTTGGGGGAAAAAAGCAGAGAATTCGTATTTGGAAGTTGGAGGAGGGGCGGGATTACCAAAAATTTGTCCAAGGGGGAGGAAGGTTGTTGAGGTGGTCGGGCTGTAAGAGAATGGAGCGAAACAAATGACTTCAAGGTTATCGTCTTATGGAAGGAAGGCGGGGTAGGGGGCGGCCTAGAAGGGTTGGGGGGAGGGGTAAAGAGGTTTGTGTGCGAGGGGCGGACTCCACAGGCTGCGTGACGTGTTTTATAGGGGTGAATGGAGACAAATGGTTTTTAAAACTTTACGTGCTGTTGGAGGTGACAAAGTAACATTTTTGAAGGATTCAGGGAAACCGCAGGCCGACTTAGTCCTGGAGAGGGGAAAAACAGTCCTGCACTTAAAGGGAGGGTGTTAATGTTGCATTTTAAAAAACTGTAGTTAAAGCACCCTTCTGGCAAACATGAGGAGTAATAGGTGAAATTTTTTCTTTTTCGGGCCCCCTGCCTTGGGGGGAATCGCCATGTGTAAAATAATAAAAAACTGTAGTGTAGTGTACCTAAATGTAAGAAAGTAGCAAGACATCCTGAAATTTTGCATTTTATGAGACAAAAAAAAGGGACACCAGCAATCCACCTCATGAAAAAAAATTACAGGCTTTCATTTTACACTCATCGGCCAGACTTAGTACCTCCCGGGGCGTTGCTGTCTCCCAACCCTACACCTAAAAAAAAATAAATAGGTTATATGGGTTAAGAGGGGGGGGGCAGGGGGAAAGAGGAGTGATTGGGGAATGAAGAAGTAAAGGGTTGAAAAAAGAGAAAAAGTTAGTTTTGAAGGTTTTTACAAAGCAGAAGTGTTATAAGAAAACAATAATGGCGTAAAAAAAGGTAAGAGAGGGGTGAGAGAGTGAAAAAGGAAGCAATGATAGAGGGGAAGGGGCACTGCAAAAAAAATTTTAATGAAATAAGAAAAAATTTTTGGGGTGATTAAACAAGTTTAAAAAACCAGGGGAAAATATGGATTTGTCATTAAAAAAAAAGAGTAGGGATTTTTTAAAAGGGGGGAAAGGGGGGTATTAGGGAAAGGCGAGAAAATTTTTAGGAACTTTTTAAAAGTTGAGGGAAAAAAGGGGGGCGGTAATTCAGCCTGGCAGGAGGGAAACCACTTTTGGGGAAGAAGAGCAAATGTAAGTTGGGGGGGGTACGTGAGGGTTACGTAAAGAAAGGGGTAAAGCACTGAAAATGATGGGATCATGACAGAAAGTTAAAAGCAGGGGGGGTAAGTGCGGGTGGTTGGTACTTTTGTTTAATAAAGTATGAAAGAGGGAAGGTACCTAGGGATTGGGGAACATTTTTAGTCCCTTATATAAAGGAAAAGGGGCAAAAGAGATTGTAAAAATTATAAGGAATAAATTTTTAGTATACCAGGAAAAGTTTACGGTGGGATTATAATTAAAAAAGAATTTAGGGGAAAAGACAAATTTTAGGATCGGATGAAAAGG